ACTACTACTACTACTACTACTCCCTTCCTTCCTTCCTTCCTTCCTTCCCTTCCTTCCTTCCTTCCCTTCCCTTCCCTTCCCTTCCCTTCCCTTCCCTTCCCTTCCCTTCCCTCCTTCCTTCCTTCCTTCCTTCCTTCCTTCCTTCCTTCCTTCCTTCCCTCCCTCCCTCCCTCCCTCCGTCCGTCCTTCCGTCCTTCCGTCCTTCCGTCCTTCCGTCCTTCCTTCCTTCCTTCCTTCCTTCCTTCCTTCCTTCCTTCCATGCGCGGCGAACGTCCAGGGGTCCGCCCAGCGTATCGGCGAGCTTAGCTCGGCTGCAGCGGCATTGTCTATGACAACCCGTATTAAAAGCATCGGAGTGCAGCACCGGTCAGAAGACCCAGCATGCTAAGCGACCCGAGCCGAGGCTACAGCAGTCTCACTCCGACGAAACAAACAGTTCTCTCAAAAGAAGATTGACGAAATGCAATGAGCTGAGTCGGGTTATCGATATTCGACTACCCGATTGGATGCTTGGCACTGTACACTGCTGTATACACCTTGGTAGCATCTATAAGAAACAATGCAGATTCAATTCAGCGAAGCACTGCACCTAAAGCCATCAGTCATCAACTATCCACTGCTTCCTCGGAGAAGCCACTGCCAGAGCAGGCAACGATGCAAAGCCACATTTCGATCAGGCCCAGGCCGACCATATAGCTGAGCACCTCGGCAACCAGTCAAAACATCAACATGGCCACCCACGAAAAAGACAGTGCGCTTGCCAGTGCAGGAGATGTGCCACCCGACGTCGGTCTTTGCACCGCCATTGTACGAAAAACATCGCCCAATCTCTCACGAGCAGTCACTTAGAACTGCCAGTAATACGAAAGCCATGATGTGTCAGGAGCTGTACATCCGGGGGCTTAAGGTTCGCATATTGTCCAATGTGAAAAGACAAAAGCAAAAGCCTAGTTCCTTCCCAAATCAGCGTTGCGTGAAGCTTCTTCGGCGAGAAAGCCGTTGCCTCATTGGTGGAAACCAAGTGACCCACTGGACCCCTCGAGGTAAGCGACGTGCCTCCTTGCGAGTCCTCAATGAAGAGCTGCCCACCCTGAAACTCCGAACATGGAAGTGCCAGATTGACAGAGCTGGCCAGATTTCTGGAATCCCTGTGCAAGGCCGCCTGAGTATTCAATGACAATGTGCACGAAGTGAACTGTAGCTCTTCACTCCACGTCCCAAGAATGCCAGCCAAAGCCCGGGTGACCCACGGATAGGCCACCGTGTTGTTGACCACGCCGGCCATGTTACCAAAATTCCATGCCCCAACCGTGAACCGTTTGGAGTCCGCGGGGGCACAGGTGTCAGCAGCAGTCTGAGGTCCCCGGCACTTCCAAGACAGCTGGCTTGGATGCTCGGCTGCAGACAGCAACCCCACTTCGTAACCATCACGGACAAAGCAAGAAACTTTCAGATTCAGAGCCGGAGCTGAGTTTTTGACAGTGGACCACTGCTGACACCGCGGCAGCGCAACAGATTGATGAAGATTCGCTTCACCTCAGCAACAGGAGACACTCAAAACCATATTGAAGATCAGACCACTCCACATCACCAGCAAATGTGCTCACAGAGAAAGCCACCAAGTCTTTTCCCCATGCACTCACCGCTCGAGTGGATCACAGATGATTAGGAAGAACGCCATGAGCGACCTTGAGACATCACAGAGTGGGCCCTCGCAAAATACCGGCATCGAGAGGAGCGCCCCGCAGCGAGCTGCCAAGCAGGCGTCCAGGTGGAGTCTGTTGCTCCACAAAACGTTACACCGCATTTTTGCACCAGGAGTCCCATCAAGTCAAAATCAGGA